TTTGAACCATAATCAAATTTTTTTTGACCGCTACAATATAAAACCGATTAACGGAAAAATTTTGAATTTTTTTTGTATGAAAATATTTTTTGTTAATTATACTATAGTTTGTAGACAAAATCCAGAAAAAATTAATTAAGGATTTTGTCTTTGAAAAAAGAGCCGAAGTCTTCATTTAGATGAATGATTCGCATGTAATTAATTTAATTAATTAATCACACTTTGTATGAAAATTTGGCTGTGCCTTATATAAGTGATTTCTGATTGCACTTGTGAAGTATATAGCGGCTCAAGAAAAACGAATGTAATGGATGAAAAATCGACGTCTATTGGATCATCCAAAAAATTGTACATTTAAGTCGATTTTTTCATTGACGGCGATTTTGGTTACGTGGGATAGTTCTGAGCCACTTTGAGAATCAATGCATTTTTCTTTAATATCTAATTCCTTGAAAAATGTCAATAAATCGAGCAGAAGCTCAAAACTTTTCGGATCGGATGCCCTTCTCATGAATGCGAGAAGCTAAATAAATTTATTTTCAATCAAATTTCCTCAAAGGAACATTCAAATGGCAATAAATTTTCACATGAATACACATAAATGGATTTTTTTTCTCCATTTCACTTTATTATTTGTGTGCATTGGAAGTGAAATTAATGATCCGCGACTTCTTAACGATACCGTCGTAAAATTCAAAAAAGATTTTTTTTTTCTTTATTTTAATTACTTCTTGATTTTTATGATGCTGTTGAGAGCTGTTTTTATGAACTTCTTTTTTGGAGGCCTCCTTTATGCTGAAAAATAAATAAATAGAAGGATTCATTGGAGAGAATAATTGGTTTTTTCGAGGAAAATTAATGTTTGTCTTCTGTTGAATTGGAAAATTTTTATGGCGGATCCTTTCAGTGATGATTAAGGATTAACATGAGATATTTTGCAAATCTAGTTTAAAGCAAATCTAGTTTAGTATAGACGTGGCAGAAGTATGGAAATCTAAAAACACATCTAAAACTAATAGTTTCATTCTTACAGCACTTAATAGTGCAGCTATTAAAATTATTTCAACAACTGTTTTCCAGCTATTTAACTTGCACAAAGCAAATACCTTTTCTTCTCATAAAATCAAATAAAACAGTAGAATAATCGCAGCAAAAGTCAATATTCCTCTTCTTAGAGCTTAAGGAAAATTCATCAAAGAAAAAAAAATCTTTTTTTAAACTTGCTCAATTATTTCCATCCCTCCAACGTTCTCACTTGATTCTTTACATTATAAAATAAAATAAAATAAAAATAAAAAGAAAATGTTTTTCATGAATTTCGTGAGAAAAATTTATAATCAATTTTTTTTATATTCACAGTTTTTTTTTCTCATTTACAACTTTCTTTATTGTCCAACAAAAAAAAAATGAGAGTAAGAAAAAGAAGAGGAAGGAAAGAAGAAAACTTTAATTTGGTCTTTTAACGGAAAGAAGTAGGAGGATCATCATCATGGAGATATGAAAGTTTTTAAAATTTAATAGAGTCTTTAAAGTCATTTTTGATCATATCAACCTTCAATAAAGCTTGTTTGGATCTTTCAACTCACTTTATCATATTCTTTATAAACTTACCTAAAGTGAAGTATTACGTCCGCATGCTGGTCGAATAGCTAAGGCGCTTGGCTCAAATTTGGAATTGTAACTCGAAGGTCGTCGGTTCGAATCCAGCCATTTCCAAATTTGTTCTTTTTCGGGAGTTTAGATAATTCGACTGCTTAATATACGAGATCAAGCCATAATTGGGCATTTGGGCAACGTTGGACTAAGGAACGGTTCATCAAGCCATTATTGGGCATTTGGGCAACGTTGGATTAAGGAACGGGTCTGGAACTTGAAGTGTAGCGGGAGAAATAGGAACAAGAGTTACAAGATTACCCACGAATGGAATATTGTAAGAACGGACCTGAAAAGTATCACGTCACGCCCACAAAACATCGAAACGAGAGCCTTAGTTTATTTGAAACCTAGATATGAAGATTAGAAGTTTGATCCTACATAATACTAATTCAAATGTATACAAATACAAAAGTGTAAAATGTGAATTATTACCGAACAGTATGTCGTCAATAAATGCAAAAAAGTGCAATTAAAAAGATTGCATAATTTTCATTGTAACCTAAGCTCTACATAGAAACATGGTTACAGTAAGTAAGTAAGTATATCCTCAAAAATAACAAAGTTGAACCCACATTTATTTTTTATACATATTTACTTCAGGCATGCACCTTAAAGTTCAAAAGAATTTGTCATTAAACTTTGATAAGATCATTTTTGAGTATCAACAGACAAAACAGCAACAAAATCTTATCAACATTTACCGAGAAGGACAGAATAAATAAGAGGATCATTTTTAAAAAAAAGTACAGTCGCTGAACTTTTCTCTGTCGTTCCTTCAAAATAAAAATAAGAGTCGAATAAGTTTAATATACAGCAATAGAAGGCAAATTTACGCCCCCAGACACGATAAATAACGAAAATCGAAATATATCTCCGATAATGCTATATCAATAGCCTTACAACGAGGAAGAAAGCTAAAGAGAATAGATAGAGAGAAAAAGACCATTTGATGAAAGTGATTTGCATTATTCATGAATCTCCAAACGAGCTGCTGCCTTTTTCTCACTCATCGCCTCGACTATAAGCTAACTTTGAATATTTGATCAGTCATGATTTTCATCTTTTTTTTTCCTCTCCGTTCTTTATTCCTTTCAATACACATACTGCATATTTTGAATTAACCAATTCTCTCCATTTTTTTCCTTCAATCGCCTTCGATTCTTCTGTCATTATTTTCAATAGAAAGGCACAGAATGATGATAGATGAAATTATTCCGTTTGATTACCGCATAATTTTTGCATCAACTCGAATCTTTCTTATCACAAAAGGAAAATCATGAGGATAGTTTAGTTAATGTGATCAATTTTATAGATTTATGGGATGTTTTCGATGACGAATGTAGCTTTTATCGGAATTCTTGTGCGAATAATGTTAGGAAGCAACTTTCCCGAATAGCACAAATCGGATCATCGAGACGAGATCCTAGAGACAAGGACTATGCCGGAACGACTTAAGGATTTCGTCTCGACGAGAGTTTCGCCCAGAAGTTGACATGGCTTTATCCTAACGTAGGATTTCATCTCGAATATCTGACTTGTGATACGCGAGTTTAAATTGTCAAACTTGCGACGTTCAAGTGATGATGAGGTGGGATATAAAGTGAGATATACAGCAATATACAGCTTTATTAATCTTATAAAGCTGAACAAAGCTGACCTGGATCTTATTATATTGTGCAATGCTGATCTGGATGTTTACTGGATCTTATAAAAAACGTGGTAAAATAGCAAGTTTCGAATGACAGACTAAGTGGAAGCTATCCACATGTAAGCTACCTCAATATCGTTTGAATCCATCGTTAATCATCCTCAAGAAGCATCATCAGATGAGAATTAAAATTCTAGACCATCCACCCGAGTATTCATAAAACAGCACAAAGTTAATTCAATTTTATTAATCCATTGATTTAATTAGAAGATGTACAAGACCATATAATTTTATTTCCTTACTCAATCATTTCAAATTAATCTACTCAACATCCATCCACACATGCGAATGTTACACTTTTTCCCCTTTCAACTTCCTTTTTCGTAACAAAACTGTGGCTTTTTATATTTTCATAAAATTGTAATCCCTTCCACTCAATAAAGTTTTAGTTTTTTGCACCATTTAATTCATCAATTCGGGTTTGGATGTGGTTTGAAGAGGAGCATAAGTATCTCACTCTAATCGGATTGAGGCGCACGAGAATGAAACAGCATTTCGACAATTCGGTTTATATATGTTGGCAACTTGCTTGGTCGAATGTTTATCATCACTCTATTCATTCATTTAACAGTGGGAATAGTCGATACGTTAATTTAAGTGCTACGTGAAACTACTTGATATACATTAAGCATTAAACTACCGATACATCACATTCATTTTCGCTTTCAATTTGTATAAAATTGTACTGATATTTGAACGTGATGAAAATTGCAATTAAATATTGATGAACGTCCCGCGCTCCATCCTTCGTTCTTCTCAACAGAAAGAAGAATTGTGTGTTGATGATGTGGATGCTGTATATTGACCAATATTGTTATATTATGTTTATTGTTTTCTATATAAAAACAAATGATTATGTTTAATGATTCGATTATTTTAGTGGAAATAGTTTTTTTGTGGTGCTTTCTGATGCTATGAATGGAAATGAAAGTGTGTGTGTATATGCGTGTGGTGATGAGCAAATGCTGTTACAATGAATTATTTTTGATAGCTTTTTTGAGGTGCTTTCTATTGCGGTGTGCTTTGAACTGGAAAGCTTTTGTCCTTTTTTTGTATCATTTTTTTAGCATCAAAAGAGCTTAAAGGCAAATAAAGATTCAGTTTTAATATTTTATTGAATTCATTTCTTATTGATTCATTTTGAAAATCTTCAGCAATTGATTTTGGGAAGCAACTTCTTTAAAAGTTTGGATTAAAACATTCTTATGACGTCCGAAATTAACGGTCATTTTTCAAAAAAGAACAATGGATTTTCAGGAATTTCTTTTGTTCTTTTCTTGCTGACTCCTCCCCCCCCCCCCCCCTCCTGGACGTCATAGGTGAACGGCCCCTTAGATCTTAGTGACAGTAAGATAAATGAAGAACATCAATCTTTTCTAATTCCTGATCTGGAAGTAGCTACTTTCAATGACAATTTATGTCTATAAATAAAATTTGAATCTTGAAAAAATGGAAATTCCCAAAATACTGTTCTGATTATATTTATACAAAAAATTGACACAGCATCAAATACAGAAAAGTTCTCAATTATTCTTTAATTCACAGCTTAAAAGTTATTGTATTCTCATCTTCTCTCTCGAATGCTGCTTATAACTTTTATTTACATACATAACAAAGAGCGTAGTCTCTCAATATTTATGATCAGTCTCTTAAAGTTAACTAAGCTGTAAAGAATGAAAAATATTCTTTCGATATTCTTATTGACCTTTAATTGTTTCCTGCAATCGCAAGCTCAAGAATGTGGACAAGTAAAATATAGCACTGGCCTCATAATTAATGGAACTGATGTTAAACGAGGAGAGTTTCCTTTTTTGGTTGCAATTAAGACAGTAGAAGAACAAAAGTATATTTGTGGAGGTAGTTTAATAACAAAATCGCATGCACTGACGGGTGAGATAAGAACTTGATTTTTTTTATTATCACTTAATATTCATAGAAATTTATTTGTTGATTGATAGCAAGTCATTGTATACATCAGAAATATAGAAGTACAAGATTTAATCCTGAAGATCTAACTGCCTTAATTGGAAAATATGATCTTCGACTTAAAGATGAAAGCTATGCAACAGAAATGAAAATCAATGAGATCATCGTTCATGAAGATTGGAAGCCACAAGAAGATAGATATGATGCTGATATAGCTCTTTTAGTTTTTGAAGAGGATGTCCAGTTTAATAATTTTATTAACATTGTGTGCTTACCAAAATACTACAGATCAAATTCATTACAATCAGGGGAAGTAGTTGGTTGGGGTGTGTCAGAACGAACTAGTATTTCAGAGAATGAAGCTATTCCGAGGAAAGTAAAAATTGGCAAGCCTCCATCGAATGAAAAATGTTATCACGAAGATTCATATTTTGCCCAAATTTCTTCAGAACGAACATACTGTGCGGGTGGAAAGTTAGCTGGACCATGCTTTGGTGACAGTGTAAGGCATTTGTTTTTCATATATTAAATATAGATTCAAACTTCTTTCATTTTAGGGAGGTGGATTTTATGTCCACACAAGTTCCGGCTGGCATATTCAAGGACTTGTTTCCGCAACTGTTTTGACAAATAATTATACATGCGATAGTGCAAAGTATGCGCTGTATACGAACGTTGCCAAATTTTATGACTGGATATGGAAGAAAACTACCAACTTTACGGACATCCAGCTTCCGTGTTATTTCAATGTGTCAGAGAAATTTAAAGAGTGAGTGCTTTTATTTTGTTTGTCTAGTCTAAGATACTTACATGCTTCATTTCCACTTAACAGCAAGCCATACATATGCACTGCGCAAATAAAAATTATATCTGATAATTACAAAGTCATATCAACAATTGGAGATCATTTGCAGGGCAAATCCAATAACGATGTTGGTCTTTTGGATCTTAATAGTAGACACAGTAACAAAATCAGAGACATTCGTTACATCCCAGAAGGATTAGGCAAATTGTTTCTTAAGTTGAAAATACTCTACATTCAGAATTGTAAGCTTAAGTCACTGTCAAGGAAGAATTTCGCCAATATGGATAACTTAACCACAATCAGCTTGACGAAGAACCAAATCGAGCATATTGATCCTGATACATTCTATGATGTTCCTATGCTTTTTTCACTACGAATTAATGCAAACAAACTTAGTAGCTTATCAAATGATTTGTTCATACATGCACCAAGACTTAAGTATGTCATATTAAGCAACAACTTACTTGAATTTTTCGATAGCATCATTTTTGACAGCAACAGAGATTTGAAAAGCTTAGATCTGTCTTACAATAAGCTAAAAAATATTTTCATAGACTTTCCTGATTTTAAAGGTCTTCAGTTGGTTGATCTGAGAGGCAATCAATGCATTGATGACATTTTTATTGATTCTAAATCATTGAAAGATTTCCAAGATTCCGTAAAAGTAAATTGTGCTAGAAACTTGTGATTAATGGATTTTTGTAAAAATGAGGAGAATTGAAATAGTTGAAGGAAGTTATTAATGTAAATTGTTGTGAAAAAGGTTGAATAAAAAGTTTTCCATGCTCTAAAAAATTCAAAACCAAAAAGTATTATGTTACAGGTAAACAAAATTTAACCACAAGGCTTGATACTATAAATTTAATACAAATCACGTAAAGTTCCCATAGAGATATGCAATGATAGTTGTGGAAAAAGTTTTCATTTTTATTTGTTGTTGTTGTTGGAACTGCTTTTTAGATTTACGACATAAACATTTTTCCATTTCTCCTTACTCGCTTTCATTCGGACGTTTTTTTCTTCTATGATTTCACTTCAACTTTATGCTACATATATTTTTTAACATGTAACCAATGTCTTGTTTATGATTTCGTATGGTTGTAAGTTCAGATTTTACAGAAATGAAAAATAGAGGATCTAGAAAAATAAGGAATCCATAGAAGGTTATGAAGCGATTGAATAAAGCACAAGCTTTTAAGAATTAAAGGATCTAGATTCATAATTTTAATTAGCTTCTAAATTATCGTTGTCAATGCTTAACTCATAGTGATAACAATCTCTTCCAGTTCCACTAAAACTATAAGCCTTCACGAAAGAGCTTTTTTTTAATTGAAGCTTACAGCACTTCAACAATAATTAAATAAATCCTTTTGGCTTTGCACAAGTAACAATGATGGAATTAATTCTCAATCAAATTAAATCTTCTATTAATTCTGTGACTGCATCCACCAAGTTTTTACATTGTGTCACTTCAAACAAAACAAAAAAAAAAGAGGGAAGTTGGAAAAGTGCAATGAAAATTAAATTAAAAACCATTTCTAAACTGCTTCTTACCTTCAAAGCATCATGATGTTGCAACTAGAGCGAGTCTTTTGAGTGAAATTATCAGGTAAGGAAGTAAGTTGTTGTTTGGGGATTACTTAAGCGCTGAACTTGAGTTTTCTTGTTTAATATTGATCCGATTCCTTCCTTAGCAGTTGATTACAAGTTCCTCATCGAGTCATTTCAGATCAGATCTGCAAAAGTCGCATAAATACTCACAGTCCACATTAATAAATCTTTGACAGTCAACCAAAACGATTGAACTACATCTTTTTATTTCAATCAGTTCCACAAAAGCTCTTTAAGCAGCATCTCCAAGGTGTCGATGTGAAGTTTTTTAAAAAAGTTTCCACAACAATTTTGTTATAAAGATCACGTCATTAAATAAAACTTGCAAAATCATTCTCAAGAAGCGATGGAACTAAGAAAGGTTTCGGATAGAGGAGAGAAGAAAAAAAATTAAAAGTTAATTCCACAGACCGAAAAGACTACACAGAGTGAAGTTTTTTTTAAGTGACATAGAAATAAAATCCAATAAATAAAATTCTGAAGTTGAAGTGGAAAAAGAAAAACATATTTTTGCAATTTTAAGGAAGAACGAAAGTTTTTTCATAAAATTTTTTTGGCACCAACAAATGCATTTTGCGAGGAAAAACATTTTTTTTATTTCCTTCTTGTTTTACTTTCTTCTCGCCTTTGGCTTCAAATAGGATTGAAAGAATCTCAAGGAGGTTGAAAAGTTGTGGATTTATTTTGGAAGAGTTTTCAATCATAAGTGTGAAAGGAGCAAGGAAATTGATTTCGGGAAGAGTTTGGAAGTGAAATATGACTTGAATGATTTGTGCATGCATATTAAGGAGATGTTGCAATGACGTTCATTTTAGATTTGAATCATAATAGTTAAATAATAGTTGTTTGCCCCGCTTTATTATACAGCCTAGGATTTAATCTTTCATTAGAAATTAGACAATAAACTTCACATGGTATTAAATAAGATCTTATCAATATTTTATTAATCCGAAGCAACTTTAAGTTCCAAGAAGTGGATTTGAATCATCAACAAAATTCAAATTGATCCACGATTTAAAATATTGAAGATAAATGCTCAGTTTGTTTACAAACAAACAAGAATCCAAATTTTAAAGTAGCATCCATGAGATTATCTCATTAAAATAAATCATATCAGACAGAAACTTCAAAGGAAGAAAACGTAATAAAAAGTTGAGAAAATATTCTTTTAACCCACGGAACATACTATTAAATCAAAATATCTGGATTCAAGGAAACGAATAAAACAGAAGCTGTAATCTTACAGCATCGTAAACTTTTAGATCAACATATTTTATCAAGCACACCTGGATTCGAAAGAGAGAAAGAGAAAAAACATAAAAAATTACCAACCAAAGACGATGAAAACTTCTTTATGTATTCTCATCACTTTTTTTTATTTCTGAATCTTAAAAAAGCACCTGAAAAAAATTTTTAAGATCAAAAAAGAAGAAAAATTCTTTTGAAGAATTCACATTCACCTCAACAACTCTGAAAAATTAAGAGAACCGAGAGATTGCAAACATAAAAACTTTCCTCTTATGTCATCATCATTTTTATTCCTTCTCATCGTTCAGTCCTCACATTATCAAATGTTGTGGTGGTCAAAGTCGTTGGAGCATAGATCAAATGAAAGGAAGGACAAAAAAAAGTTTTCCCTTTAGCCACATATAGCCTATATAACTCATGTGGATGTAAAGTTGCACAAAAAAAAGATCGTAAAATTGAGAATGTAATTTATCTACAAAGTTATCAGCGCATTTTTGGTTTATTTGTGTCTCATTTCTGCTGGTCCCATCGTGAATTAGTTTATCAAGTTTTAAGAACAATTGATCCTTGTATTGCTTCTGGAATTGGGTAAAATACACGTATAGTTGATTTTACGTACCAAAATTCCTAGATTTGATCTCAAATTAACACTAGCTGCTGAATATTTCATTTAAACAGAACATTTCGTTTTATTAGCTGTAGTATAATTTCGTCACGAATTGTGACTTGCTACTAATCAACGATCCTTAATGAAACATTTTTATTGCACACAATAAAATTGGACATTCAAGGAATTAAATTTCACATTCCATTAATCGAAGACTGTGCTAAAAATTCATTAAAAAATCAGTTGGGTGTGGATATCCTCATAAAACAAACATTACAATTTTCTATGTGTGTGCATATATCTGTGTAATTTGATGCTTCTTTTCCTTTCACTGAACTTTTTTTTTCTTTTTTCAATGTGAAAAGAGCAAATTAAGATTGAATGAATAAACCTAAAGCATATAGAATTTTATTTTTGTGGTTTTAATCAACTTAAGACACATACACAAACACACGAGAGTATCCATAAAAAGGTTTAATTTTAGATGATTCCATTGTCCATGAATGAACAGAAATTTATTTTTCTATTACAATTTGCTTTTACGATACTAATTTTCGAACCAGAAACCGCAGGATTGTAGTCACCGAAATGGATGTTCAGACATTAATACACACAAAAAAATGGACAAAATAAAAGATACAAAAAGAAAGTTCTTTTTTCTAATTATAGGGTGGCTTGAACACAGCATAAGAATTTCTCCTTCAAGAGATGTGTTGGGGATGGGTTTATATGTGGAATACTATTTTGGATATAGAATAATGTTCAAGGTTAACACATACGACATCATTCAGATACTCACACAAAAAGTAATGACGATTAGGGATAAGATACAGATATACTTGTGAGAATGCTTTATTTCAGCATAAATTGAATGGAGATAAAAAAATAAGTGGTTATTGCTGATGAAATCTATTTCGATAAGCGGGATCATTTAATGAGGATGTTCAAGATTTAAGGAAGTTTAATGTAAGGGCGGGCTGGAATGACTTCAAGAAGCAACTTTGTCTAAGATTAAGACTTAGACTTCTTAGACTTTATCTAAGAACACGACTCCATTGGAGCTGTTGAACCCTAGTTCTCTCGCATCTGCATAAGTCCCTAGTCTGAAGTACAAGCGACTATAGTAAAAATCAGTTATTTGTTGTTACTTCGCTTAAAGGCATAGTCTTCGATGCGTTATGTGGATTTAATGATTATTTTTTTCATACATAACAGAACATCCTAATGTCTTGTATTGAAATCATACATCATTTTCATGCAATGGAGAAAATTTAATGCTGGTAATAAATTTTAGATAACTTGTTATCATGGCAAATAGTGATGCTTTAATTCCCTAACAAACTTGATGTATGTAGATGCTTATTCGTACATTAGTGTTGATTTTAATTCCGGATGAGAATTAGTTGTAAAATTTGCATTTAAATCATCAATATTGTTAAGGGGTCGTTCACTTATGACGTCCATCAAAAAACCTGATTTTTAGACCCCCCTCCTCCCTCTGACACAAAAATTCTATAGAAAAAAATTTCCATTGTTTGAACTGTCACAAAATCCTAGACTCACCCCCCCCCCCCCCCCCCTAAATGTCGGACGTCATAAGTGAACGGCCCCTAATGGAAAGAAATGAATCTTTACTTGATGTTCATCAGCTACCTTCATTTATCGTGCTCGAAGCTTTTATTCGACCACCTGATTCGAGTTTCTTATTCATCTAAAAATTCATTCTTCATCAAAATTGTTGTAACTTACAGCATTGTAAGTAGTTGTATTAAATTAAATGAAGCCACATTTCACGTAAGATGAAGTAACATAATAATTTATGTATCAAAAAGGCAATTTAATTCATGTCGTCTTTTGTCATTTGAATGATAACAGAAAATAAAGTAATTAACATGAGGAAATAAAGCATGAAAAGCACTAAATAATTTGGAGCTGAAGCCGACTTAGCATCAAACAAAATCTTAGCGTCCTTCGTGCTTGCTAGATATTTAAAATGACATTGTTTAAAATGCACATAAAATCAAACATTGAGGCATTAACATGCTACATTTACTTTACATATTACACATGTTAGCATAGAGAATATGTGGAAATACATTTGACAGTGGCCATAACTACTTCAAGTATTTTAGTATGGAAAATTGCATCTCGCATGTGACAATAAAATCAATTTATACTGTATAAATATTTGAGCATATCTCAATAAACTGTTCATAAAATACAAACTTGAAATTAAATGAATGTGAGCGCTGAACAAGTTTGAATCTCTTTAATATGAGATGAATGATGAGCTTTTGGAATTTTCAGGATCCAAGACAATCCTA